GTTCCAGCATGTCAACAGCAACTATGCATCATCGGATGTCTGCCGCACGTAAACGCCTGTCTCCTCTTTCCCTCTCACCCTCTCGCTCTCTCTCACTCACTCTGTACGCGCTGTCCACCCTCTCTCTGGATCCCGTTTCTGCTCGAACTCGGTGGCCCTTCCGGTATCCGCCGATCTTCCCCCTCCATCGTGGTCAGATATACGGGCTCGTTCATTATAATAAGCAGTGACGGTCAAATGAACCTTCGTTAACCGTGAAATATCGATTCCCTCTCTCTTCTTCGCTCTTTTTTCCCCCTATGCAAGAATCGAGTCTCCATGAAGTACGATCACTTCATTATAATAACGATTCGAAAGAGACTCAATTTTTCCGCACGCCAACTTCATCGATGGAACCGTTCCGTAATTCTCGGGATCATTTAACGTCTCCGGTCTTCTTTTCGCCGCGACAATTTGACGTCGGGATCACTGCGCGAAGGTAAATCCCGGAGCGCAGTCAATGCATCACGCGGAAATAGACACCCCGGGTCGGGTGGCGAGCCGTAGATTGCCCCGCCGTCCCATTCCCGGGTTGCACTTGACACTACATCGTCGTCGTAATAACAATTCATTTTCGGCAGCGGCATGATTTCCCCGGGAACGTGACCGCACTGCTATACGCTGCTCAAGGGCGAGTAGTAGTAATGGCCAGGCACATAGGACAGACTGAGAGTTGGAGTACTAACGTGCGGTTACTACTCGTACACCGCGCTGTGAAATTACTTTAAATTATAGAGAATAGTAGAGAGAGAGAGAGAGAGATGGCTAAGAGAGGGAGAGAGAAATAAGAAAAAAATTAATGCTCTTTTCCTCTTATACTAATTCTCTCATTTTAGTCCCCTTCTCCCTCAAAATGTTCTCTCTATTTTGTCGTATACTCGTCATACTCGTTTTTTTTTTCATTCCTTCTTGAGGTCTCTCACGCTCTCGCGTTTGCTTGTTCTTCCTTTTTCATCATCCTCAAACTCTTTGACCTCACTGTCTTTTTCATTCTTTTCCTACTTTCGAGCTGTGTCTTGTTTTTCTACTTCTTACCACGCTTGTACTCTTCTTTCACCCTTGTTTACTGTCCCTCTTCATATTTTCATATCCGTTTTGTCTCCTTATTTCAGGCTCTTTAATTCCTGCTTATTACTATTAAAGTAGTTTTATTAACATATTTATGTTGTACAACTTTGTTTAAAAAAATATTAAAAAGCACCACTTTTTATATTAGCAATTATATCTCTATACTTGTCAAGAAAATCTAATATAAAAATTGTTTGTTAATTTATAATATTGACTGGTTAAGCAACGTATTACAAACATACATTTTATAAGAGCTGTATCCCAGTTTCATTTTGTAATTTCACATATATATTTATAGAGTTAATCTTCATATAATTTCCTCTTCGGTCTGTTTTCTGCGTCACTCTAATTTTTGTAGCTATGCTTTTAATTCTTCGGGAAATTACTCGTTGAACATATACTACGTTGGACTGAATAAATTTCTCCTCATCTCTCCCTCTTTCATCTTCTCTCTAGTTTCGAGAGTCTCGTGCATTTACCTTTCCATATATAATCGTACACCCCCGCGCGAAGTGCAACCTCCAAGCTGGCTGCATATCTCTACGCCAGGAATTGGAGTGGATGGCGAACGTGGGTACAATAGTTCGCATTGTATTGGATTCAGCCGAGTGATAGGCCCCTCTCCCAGTCTCTTCTACCCCTCTCTCTCTCTCTTACTCTCTCCCTCTCTCTCTCTCTGCTTTGCGCCTCACCTTCCTCAACCCCTTCGTTCCCACCCTTCTCTCTCATTTTCTGAAGGCCCGGCGCGAGCGCGTATTGTGCCGCGCGTTATGCCCAAATTTCGCTATCTATCGTTGTTGCGGCCAACTGCGTCCTTTTGTACCCTTTCAGCTTGCGCTTTGGTTTAAGCAGCGTGTATCCCGGATTCGACCGAATGCATTCCTCGAGGGAGGACGACTCCTATCATGCTTGTCGATCTATACTTCGTAACGAAAGCCCTTGACAATCAATGGACGTTATCGATGTCATTGGATAATTTTCCTTCGTTGTAAATTCCGAAATTATTATTATCTATGAAATCAGAAAATAAATAAGAAAATACTGATATATATATATATATTAGAAAGAATAGTCTTTATTTTGGAAAAAGTTCTCAATCGCTTCTAAAATTGTATTTTTTATTATGCTGACAATCAATGGACGATGTCATCGGATAATTTCCTTTCGTTGTAAATTCTGAAATTATTATTCCCTATGAAATCAGAAAATAAATAAGAAAATAATGATATCAGAAAGAATAGTCTCTATTTAAGAAAAAATTCTCGCTTTTAAAATGGTATTTTTTATTATGTTTGATAATAATTTTCGGCAACGTTTCACGATGACAATTGTCATAGCTCTCGAGACGGGCTAAAGTATAAGACGACTGAATACCTGAAGCCTCTGCGAGGAATATAATCGTTTGGACTGATTAACGTCGCGAATAACATGTCAAGCGTGCGCGGCGCGAATCCGGGCTATTGTGAATATCTGAATATTCGCGAGGCATACGCGCGAATTCCTATATCTGATTGCGCGCGAATAGACTCGGATCTCATTTCCTGAGTACATCCAAGTATTTCATATATGTGCACGTGCGTAGTCGAAAATTTTGTCCTGGTGGTTTGTACGCATTTCAACGTAATATTTTGTTTATAATATAAATATCTCATCTCAACGCGGTATGGCTTTTTTCTCTCGAAATATATCATTTTCCTGGGTACCTATAACGAGAAATTGTAATCATTTAAAAAAAGTGCAGCTTAGAATTATGCAAGCTTGTAAATTTATATCTATAGTTTTTAAAAGTTTGGTCTTAGGCAAAATTTATTCGGAAAAACTTTTATGTTTATTTTTATTTTACAAAAATCACAAATGTTCGCAGTAAAAGTTTGTCGTTTAAGTGAAGCGATAATCCTCAGTGTTAAGAGGAATCACGCGAGCAGCATTTTTGAAAATTCATTCCACCATCAGTAATTTATCGTTGCCCTCGATCCCTGGCCAACCCCTTCTCGCCTACATACGCAGATTTCAGTAATCGAACCCCCACATATGTTATGGTGAGTCCAATAACGGTATGCGCGCCGATAATTTGCTGTGTTAGTATCGCACACCATGACAGGTCGGTTTTATATAATTAGGCACATGATCGGGCACGGCAACACGCGATTATGAATTATTCGTTTGGGCTGCGGGACTACGCAAACACACAATTATCTCCAATTATAAAGTGTAGGAAAACGAGCATAATAATATACATCTTTACCATACATACTTTCTATTTGATTGTGAAGACAATCAAAACATTATGCAAGTTACTTGACTGTATGTTGATATAATTCTTTTCAATATTATGTTTCTAATTATATTGATTTTCAAATTATTAGTTATTTGGCAATAAAAAACCACACACGCACACACGATATGAAATTCTAGAAGAATGTTTATTTGTCAGAAAGAATTGTCTCTAAATCTATCGACCGGATGTCGAAATTAACGACTGCTACCGACTCGACGACAAAACGGCGAACGAAATTTCGCGAAGAGAGAGTTCCTGAAAAATGGAATTACTGCAAAACCCGGGGTTCTCGTCGGGGAGAGGATAGGGAATTAAACGGCCTTCGAACGCGGCTCAAATAATTGATGCACGTCAATTAGATTTGTCAGGCCAATCGTCGTAATTAAATGAACAGGAACGCAAGGCTTGAACACGTACACATAACGACGCTTACACACGTATATACATGCATCCACGTGTATACGCATGTATATACCATCGCGCATGACGATCCTGTATCCGGACCATATTCGAGAGAGTGCGCGGCGTGAAATTTAAATTTCTCCAATACCGGATACCGATAATCCCGTTGATTCGTCGAAACCGTCGGCAATTCATGCCGCACTTTTCCGCTAACAGTTAACTATTCCGTTAAGCGACGTAGCCATTACGTCCAATTATCGCTCGCAGATGCTTTTAGAATAGAACGACGAACAAGCACGAATATTTTTTTTCGTAATCGATATATTCCTGTCAAAAAAAGTTCTGCGAGGAATTAGAATCTTGCACACATATAGTATTCGGATTTAAAACGTGGAACGCGAGATAGGTTGAATCACAGCTGAATCTGTCGGAAATTAAAGATTCATGCATTATATATTAAACGACAAAAGAGTATTTGCTATAAAATAAAGCTTTCGATATACATATAGAGAGGAAGTAATGGAAGATTGATGCTTCTCTATGTAATTTAATGCTACGTGAAAGGTTTCGAGACTTGAGTCGATCATCGTGGGCCATTACAGTCTTTGTCGTTCATCCAGAGAATTTAATTCTGTTATAGATATTTCCCGATTTACTATACAGAAATTCTATGAGAAACACATGAAGATCGATAAGAGGCTCGAACTGTATCGTCGCAAAGGAGAAAAGAAGCTGGATATTGATGAAGTACGAGAGCGCGTGTTGCTCGCCGCTTGCTTGACGTGTGTAACGCAACAGGTTTCTTCGCTTATTTTCGTAGCACCACAGGTCGGCGCAAGAGTGATATCACGTAATAACTTGAAAGCACACTCTCTCGGTATGCTGTTTCAATATATTTGAGAGAGAAACTAGGTCACCGTGTGTCCGTATTTATTTGTGTGGTCGCATGCATTAGTTGGTCAACAGTTCATTTACAAATTACTCGACGTGACAACACGCTATATAGAATATTTGCTGCTCCAAAAATACATTTGTACATAATCATTTATATTTGCATTTAAAAAATTTATTTGCTTAACCGATATACATGTATAATATATATGTGTGTAGAATATGTAAAATAATTCTTCTTTGAACAGTTTCAACAGTATAAAAATATTTATATTTTTTTACAAGTGATAGTTTGTTATCAAAAAAAATTTATATTTTATTATTTATTATATTTTTATTTTAAAAAATCGATTAATTTATATTATTATAGTTTAGCGATCATTACTCGAAGTTCGCGGCGTAAAATCTTGCCGGAAGGATTCTTGGGTATGGCATCGACAAATTGCACCCCGCCATGCAACCATTTTTGCGGCGACAATTTCTCTGAAAGATAAATTGAATTGCTCGGTTAATGCATGGATAGGTTGCCGCCTGGCTCGCGTTTGCTATTAAAATGCAATGTCAAGACGGGGTACGTCCACATTCTAACCGTGCTGTATATTTAAATTACGTAGTCTACGAGGATAACTAACAATTTCGTTAATGATGCAAGCGGCGTTTAATGTCGTTGCGTTGCACGATGTCGCTAACAACTAATAATGCCGTTAATAATGCAACGCACCGTTTTACGTTACTACTATATCATGAGCTCGCTGCTCTGACACCCGTATTTCATCCACACATTCAAATTTAAACGCGCACGTTTCCAACGTTAAGCTGACTTTTCCTACTGTTGTTTAAATTTATTTATAATTAATAGAAAAAAGATTTCTAGTAATTCAAATCTTTTCTTTAAAAAAAATTTGCTATTTTTTAAAAATGCCTTTAAGTTTATTACATACAACAAATTTTTATCCTTCTCTGATTCCACACTACAGAGAAAATATCAAACTCTTCATATGTAAATCTGCGAAGAAATGTCGAAAAAGATTTACAATAGTTGAGAGATAACTCACTTTTGACAAAATCCTGGAGATTCTGCTCGGTAATCGTGGCGCCGGGTTGCCTCACTATGAAAGCCATAGGAATCTCACCATTGCGTTCATCAGGTCTTCCTGTGACCGCGGCGTCCTTCACCGCGGGATGCGACAGTAGAACCGTCTCAATCTCTGACGGCGAGACCTGATAGCCTTTGTACTTGATCAGCTCTTTGATACGATCGACCACGTATATCCTGCCCTTGTCATCGAAGTAACCGACGTCACCGGTGTGCAGCCATCCGTCATGGTCGATGGTCTGCCTGGTGGCTTCTGAATTGTTCCAGTAACCCAACATCAATTGCTCCCCCTGAAAGCAGATCTCACCCACCTGACCAGTTTCTAGTGTCTCTTGTGTCTCAAGATCGACCACTTTGCTAAGGAAACCAGGCAAGGATACTCCGACTGTCGTATTTTCTGACGAATCCTCATCATCGCGTGCACTCAGATTGCTTACTACTGCTAATTCCGTCATACCATAGCCGTTGCGAATGCTCTTCACCCCGAGACGAGTTTTGACAGCGGCTGCAATCTATGGAAAAAAAGAAATTACTTGGAAATTTTTGTTAAGAAAAGAATTATCATGGATTATACAAATATAGAAGTAGTATTTGGAAGTATGAATTTTTCTTTAATTATAAAACACAGAAGATGTTTTAAAAGCTTGTATTTATTCTTTCCCTTATCAACGTTTATTTAATCCTAAAGTGATGGTATACTAGAGAAACGTCCTATGAAAGAACAATGCTCAGACATTTCGGGAGTGTGCTAAATTTTCGAAAGTTTTTATTTCTGTCGATAAGAGATCGCAGTTTCGCATTTTCCGAAAGATGCGATTGCGAACGTGACCTTTTATTTTCTCCTCCTTTAGCGATTCCAAGCCGCGACTAAACAAAAACGAGCGCGATAAAGTTACTCCCGAGCCGTGTCTAGTGAAAACGCGACGACTCCCCGAGACTCCTTCATCCTCTCGCGGTCCTACGTTCGATTCTCTCACCATCGCCGCGGCATCGAGGACTCACTTCGGCACTTAGCTCTCCCGATGGCTTTTCTTACCGCAATAACTTGGCCGGGGGATCGGCAGGCAGGGAGACGACAAACTTCATGACGACAGAAGAAAACTTACGTCCTTCGCAAGCGGCGCCGCTCCGCAGATGAGTTCTCTCACGCTGCGAAAGTCGTACTTATCCACCAGCGGGTGCTTCGCCAGGAACGTCAGGATCGGCGGCACGAGCGGCAGATGGGTGAGTTGGTGCCTCTGTATCAGGTCCAGGAAGAGTTTCGGCTCGAAGGCGGGCATCATGACTGTGATGCAGCCTGTATATATGGAAATCAACAGCATACCCAATGCGTAACCGTGAAAGAACGGTAACAATATCAGCAATCTGTCGCGTTGCTTTATATCCAAGTACTCAGGCTCCCTATTTTCAAGATTAGACTTGTCACATTTAGATTATGAACTGAATAGTATCTTGAAATAAAAATAAAATTATAATGCTATATTTTTCGAAAGATTATTTGCAAATAAATACTGTAAACAGGTACAATTATATTGAATTTAAGATATGTATAATACATATGTTGAAAATCAGAGTAAAGAGAGATAATGTTATTTTTCAAATAGTTATTGTTATGTATCATATGAAATATTTATTAAAATAATTATTGTCTATAAAATAAGCACTACCTTGATATATTTACTATATAGACATATATTATATATTTGATACATAATATTTTTTAAAATAAATATTATTTCTTTTTTGAGTGTTAATACTTTAAATATACAATCATAATTTAATTAAAAGTATAAAATTTTGTTCCAAAACTTAGCTCTAGATCTAGATCTTATTAAATTATATACATATATAATTTGATTCGGGAAAATATGTTTACTAAATAGATATTTATGTATAACTTACTTGATTTTTACCATAAACGCTAATATATTTTTATGTGACCAAGTCACTCCTTTTGGAAATCCGGTAGTTCCACTCGAACAAAGAATAGCCGATGGATGTCGGCTACTATCGCCGATATCTGTTGCTTTGTATCCCAGAAAATCTACAGCTTGTTCATTATTTAAAATATCCTTCAATGTACGCATATTTGTTGTGAATGGTTCATCATCCAACTCTATTAACTCTATTTTCCAAGATAAGTTTGAAATGACTTTAGTTATGAGACGTTCGGTGCGTCGAGACACCAAAATAATACTCGGTTTCGCGATGTTTAATATGTGCTGGAATTCATCTAAACATTATATGTTTTATTAAATATTTTAAATACAGATAAATAATCAGATACAATAAATATTTAATATAATAATGTTATACAGTTGTTATACTTACATTCCGTATACAAAGGATTGTATGGTGCTAATATAGCACCGATGTAGAAAGTCGCGCAAGCCGGTATCAACCAATCTATTCGATTTTCAGATGCGATGGAAATTCTGTCCCCAATTTTTATCCCGTATCTTTGCAAAAAATTTGCGAATTTCACACTTTTCTCGAGTAGTTCCTTGTTCGTCATTCGATTACCGCTGTGTCCGTCTATCTGTAAGAGAATAATAAGCATTTCTTTGTGTGTAATTTTAATTAAAAATATAAATAATTAGAATTTAATTGAAGTAGAAATTTAGCATACTATACATTTTTAATTGTTTTTCTTTATACATTGAAATCTTTTGTATCTTACGTGTGCGTGTTAAATATATTAACAATTTAGATAAAAGAAAATATATATAATTTAAATAAATACATCTATTTTTAATTTAAAACATGTATTATTCAATGTATACATGATATGAGATTGCTACTTATTATTTATAATGACTATAAAATATATTTTCTTTATAAATATTTATAATATAATATATTATTATAAAAGTATAATATTATTAAAATTTAAATTTTTTCTTTTTTCGCATTTGCAGTTTAAAGCGAATTAAAGTAAAAATGCAAAGACAGATGGGAGACTAGTCGTTATGAGTGATGCATAATGCGACAGCGAAAATTCAGAGATAGATTTCACAAATTTTACCTCTGGAGATTAACGTTAATAGAATTCCGAAAAGCTGTTTCTGTTTGATACATTTTATTTTTTTATCGCGAAATTTAGCAAGTGATCAAACTTGTAAATATATATAAACATGATTTTATAGCACTTACTATCAAAACATCATCGATGTTTTCGCGTAGTTTATTCAGCATAGCTTGCCCAACAGATATAGTTGGCGATGGTTGTTTCAATCGACGCTCAAATATTTTTCCCATTTTTGTAGTAGTATGGAATCTGTCTCTACAAAGTGATATTTTTATCTGAAAAAGAATGTATTTTCTCGTTAAATTATGTAATACATGATTTATATTTAAACTTCTTGTTGAAAAATAAGAGTGCTAAACTTCGAGATATTAATTTGCGAATATTGGAAATATTTTAATAAAGTTTTAAATACGTGTAAAATAATGTACAAAAAAATTTAAATTCTTGACAAAGATAGAAATATATTGTAATTAAATATTATATCAACAAAATTTCAATATATTTGTTCAAGATGCAAGAACTTAAAAGATTAATAAAGTCTTGATTGATTAAAAACTTTAATCATTAAATTATTAATTTAAAATATTTGTTAAGGAAAAATAACTGCGAATAATTGAAAGAATCTGTTATTCTTTAAAATAACATTCTTTATATATTGCAAAACACTCTATATAATTGTTTCTTTTAAAATAAAATCATTTAAGCAAATAAAATCAAGAACTTTTGCATTTTTATTTCTCAAGGTCATTGTTTACTCAAGTTTTTAGATTTATGCAAATTATAATTTTTAAGTTTTTATCCATAGAGCGCGCCAAACATTTGATCGATAATGCCGCAAATTGCCGCGAGGGCGCGTTATAGTTACGCGCGTCCACTCGACGGAGGACGCGCGTTTGGTTTCGCGGTTCGTGTTTTGTGCAAAAATTTCACAGATTAGGCTGCAATAAGTACTTAACATTACATTAATCTTATTCTTTATCATCTATTGTATCGTTTCGATAAAGTCGCGCATCTTGCGCGCAGGATTGACGAGATAATACGGAATATTATCTTTTATTGTTAGATGAGATTGCTGTCCTCGCGCCATATTAATCCTTTTGCATATTTATGCATATTTTTTTCAGACAATCCAGATGTGCTATCTAAACAAAAACGGAGAATTGCTGAGTGACAAGATGAGGCGGAAGGAGAGACAATCGAGAGATCGTCATTGAGTGAGTTTCAAAATGATATCTATAATGATTGTAAGTAGCTGCGTTAACGCGCAAAATTCTATGACTACGACTTCGCTTTGGAACGAAGCGCGCATTAATATAGGATGTAATATTGCCGATGTTACGGCAAGAGTTCAAGAATGAACTTATACGTTGCAATATATAATATGCAATGTATAAATGCAATATAAATAAAATTGAGAAAAGATAAAATATCAAAAGAGAATATGCGCATATGCTTTTGAAATGCGCAAAAGAATAAATATATTAATTATATAAATTGTTTATATTTTAATTATACTTGTGTGTTTTCAAACATAAATATTTTTTAATTTATATTTTCTGTATAATTTTATATAACTTATATTCTGTAGTAATCTTTAAAAGCTATTTAAATTATTTTTAATTATTAACATTTTAAATTATTTATCTCTCTTAAACTTTTTATAAAATGCTATTGTAATATACATTCATACATTTTTTTTTAAATTAACCTATCAATTAATTCTTTTTTAATAATACGCTTTTTCAAATTACATTACATATATGCAAGCATATTCCTTCATTAAATAAAGTAATATGTGATTTCTATATTTAAATTTTTACTGGAAATACGAATACTTTGAATATTATAGATAGCTTCAAAATATTATGTAATTGCGAATATATTAGAAATATTTTTACAAAGTTTTAATTGCATGTGAAATAATATACATACATATGGATAAAAAGATTTATAGAAATATATATATATATAATTAAAATAATGTAATTTTGGGAAATTAAAATGAGTTTGATATTCATGATATGTATAAAACTTGATTGTTAATACACATAAATTACGGTAAGTTATGAAAAAGTTATATATGATCATATTATCATTTGAATGTATAGTACAGTTCTTGGCATTCATTGTCAATTGGATATCTTTAGATATACAAGAGATGTTTGAAATAGGAGGAATTGCATTCTCCTGAGGTTTAGATATAGGCAAGGGAATTAGATATATGCCAAATGCAAAGTTACATATTATGACCATAATCGTGGAAAAAAGTGTAGAAATTTCAGTAAAATATCATCGTTTAAATTCTTTCGTTTGGCTATAACATCTCGAACTATTATTTTTAGATTGGATTATTTTTTACCCAATATATAAACCTCATATTAATATATATAACATTTTATATGTAATATGTATAAATGTGTAGTTGGTATTAAATGCTACTTTTTTATATCAATTACAATATAAATGTGATAAATAAAAATAATTTTTTTATAAGCATTTGTAAATTGAGACGTTGCGATATGCAATTCAAGAAAGAGTGGACTAACAATAAGTTTTCATAAAAAATTGATTGCTTTATATTTAAAAATTAAAATTTTAAAATAAAATAAATTTTAATTAAGAAAAATTCAAAATTAATAAAATAAATTTACAACTTTTATTTATTAATTTAAAATTAATAGGCAACAAAATATGCGAAGATTAATTTTGTTAAATCATTCAGAACAAGTTTATAATTTGTTGTGAGAATAAGTTTATAATTAATATGATTTACTTTAAATATAATACCACTCTAAATCGATCTTGTACTTTATATAAGTGATACAAATTATAAACTTAGTTTATCGTTATTATAAATGTATATATTATATAATATCCAAAAGTTAATTATCTCATTTCTGTTGCATATCAATTTTGAATTAGCGGATAAAAGTTATAAATTTCTTTTATAGTATTAATTTTTTCTTAATTATAATTAATCTCAAATTAAAATTTTTTAAAAATTACAATACACACACATATATATATATATATATATATACTTGTTGAGAATAAACAAATAAAAAAAGAGCAGTGAGCGCAACCGGCATGGTTAGACCGCAAGCGAACCGACTTCCGACGTTCTCCGCGACCTATGCACCGCATCCGCGGGAATGCATGCGACGGTGTGCATCCGGTATCCAACTGCTCGTCTTCAGGTATTCGCGTGAGGGGACCACCGAGGGGACAGGGGCGACAACGGGCGGAAGCGCGTTCTCGGGAATCACTGAAGTGCTGGGGAATCGCTCTTCGGGGTTAGTCTCGTCGTCGACGACGCGGATGAGGTTCTGGGGGAGGGTTAGGGAAGCTTGGGACGCTACAAGGGGGAGGGTTGGTCGAGGGCGCGTGCCACTCTGATTGTAGCGGCCATACTAGGACATTGGAGCCACATACCGATGATTCTTGGCCTCATGCGACATGCCTAGACACCCCGGGAATACTTATGATCTCGAAGTCTCGAAGTTAAACGCAGGAAAATCTTTTCCTTCAAAATCTCTGCTCAGATTGTTTTCCTTTTGCTTGCTAAATTTTTTGGAGTATAACGCGCGCAAAAGAACATTTTCGCTAGACTAATTTTATTCAGCTTATTGATTTATTTATTTTTTTAATTCTTCCTATATCGCGCTGAAATTCATTTCTCGACAAAATTAGCGAAGCTCTTCCGGTCTCTGTAAATTAATTATACATGTCAAAAGATTGTGCTTCGGTTTCAATCTTTTTGAATCCGATATTTGCGACAAAACATAAATTGCTTTTGGCTTTAAGAACGTTTTGTAGGTAAATAAAAGAATAGAAGCTAATATTTTTTAAATGTAATTATAGAATGAATTATCAATATATTCACAATGTTGTATATAATGTGTATATCGAGAAACTCTAGCATTAAACTTTAAACTTGAAAATAAAATTTAATTTTATTACATGTATATATTTTTAATCATATATATATATATATATATATATATATATATATATCATACATAATCTATTGTAGACTTTTATTCAAAATTGAGCGTTACGTCGTCAAATACAGACATTGAAGAAATTTGACATAAATAGTGAAAGAGTCGGAAAGAAATTCCGACGAATTTCTATGAGAAATGAATAATATTCATCGATCCAAATCCTTCTCGAAGATAACACGCTGATAATATATAAGAATAATCATCTGTCGATCCTCTTGTTACGCAAACGGGCAAAGACTGTCTACCGCCGATATCATTTCGGGATTCCTCATTAGGAATTCCACACACTCGACTGGCAGCAGTAGCGGCGCGCCTTCGCTCTTGGAGCGATTTCGCAGGCTGCTTGCCACGTTGAACGTAAGGCCGCGACTTAACGGAATTAACGACAAGCTACGCGCTCGGAGGACGCTTTGAGGGCGGCCGCGAATCGCGGGGAAGGGCCCGGGGGGTGGATTTTGATAACATGTGACTTTATCTGGAATTTCCCGGCGCGCAGGTAGTCTGTTTACTTAAGATAATGGCGAGGCGGAGTGCTTGGGCGTGGATGGAAGCCTGGCGGAGCGAAGGCAAAGGGATATTTCACCAGGCAATGTTGAGTCTCCGCGAGCGAGCGGGTATATAAGACCGGGAGTAAGAGTAGAGAGAGGAAACCCCGGTAGGATGAAAGGGGATGAAGTTGAAGGTTGGGCCAGGGAGATGGAAGGGAACGGCACACGCTCGAGGTGGCGAAGAGGTGTAAGGGTAAGAGCGAAGAGAATAGGAGGGGCGAAAGGAAGGGGTGGGCGAGATTCTCTCTCGGTAAGGCTACAAGAACTTCATTTTCCGAGCCATTACGCCCCGTACCACTGCGACCGTCCTGGAAACCCCCTTTACCCCCTTAAATTAATTTATATCGAAATTTTAAATGACACTCATCGGCCCGAGCAATAAATAACGTTGCCGCGACCGCCTGCGGGGTTGCGAGCCCCCTTTCTTCTCTTCCACCACGATTTTCTGTGTCCTCTTCGTCGCTTTTTCAACGAACCGCCGTCACGCCCGTAGATCCTTCTGTCTACGAAGTGCGACAGAGAAATAGCGTGAAGATGTATCGTAAAAAATTCTACTCGTGATGTGTTTCTAACCGGTATCAACTATTTGCAAATATCATTTATATCGAACTCAACGTAAATTAGACTTAACGCTATTTTTATTCCTTTACATTTTTCTTTATAATTACTTTAAAAGATATTACTTTATTTCTAATATACGCATAATCAAAATCAAGTATATAG